CAGCCTGCTCTGGGTGACCCTGCTTGGGCAGGGGGTTGGGCTGGGTGACCCACAGAGGGCCCTGCCAACCCCGAACACTCTGTGATTCTGTAAACTCTTCAGGCCAAGCCACAGCTCTCTCCCACGTCCTCTGGCATTCCCAGGTTTGCTGACCTCTCTCCTCTCTCCCCAAGGGACCACGCACAGCAACCGATATTTCAGAAGAGATCACAGCAACGCTAAACAGCAACAGATCCGCGAGCCGTGGCTCAATCAGAGCGATCCTAAAACTACCAGAACAAAAAGGGACCGAGGCAGCTGGACGTTATGAGGAGAAACGAGCCACGCACGCTGATAAGCGTGGCTGAGGTTATAAATAGCATACAGCTCCTGGTGATAACGTGACCCCGCGACGCAGAGAAAGGACGCTGCAAAGTTCGACGCCCCGCGCCTGCATCGCTCCCCCTCCGCGCGTTCCCCTCTGGCGCGATGCGATGCAGCCCGCCGGTGGGTGTCGAAGGTCTGAGCAGCCAGAGGGTACGGGCGGATACAACGCCGGCACAGCACAGCTGCCTTCAAAGGTGCAGACACCTCTTCCTTTTTGAAGCTCTCCTCTCGGCACCGACAGGCTTTCAAGCCTCCAAATCCGAGAATGACAGGAAAACGTCAGATGGAGAAAATGGAGCTATTACACAACCTGACAGGAGATTGTGCCAAATAACACCACCGAAATTTCTGCTGCAAACCAAAAGCAGCAGGAAGGTGCCACTGTTCATCGGGGAATGAAGCCACAGAAATAGATGCCCAGTGACTCTGGCAGCAGGGCAGCTCTCTTCATCGGACCCAGCGGGAGATAAGAAGGTTAAAAGCTTTTGAAAATCCTCCAGGAAAAGACTAAAGTGGAAGTTTTAAGCAATCAGACAAGAAAAGAGGTAAAAAGCAAAGCTGGTTGGCAGCTCTAGGCGAGACAGCAACGGGGAAGCTGCAGCTTCTGCTGGCTGAGGAGAGTCACGGTGCCATTCCCAACCCCAGCACGGCCACGCCACGTCTTCTACCTGGCTTCCAGCTCCGGCTCAGTAAACATTATCACCTGATTTGCACCGGAGGGGAAGAGGAAGGCATAAAAATCAGCCTTTGTGTTCCCAGACTACCCCCAAAGCCACATTTTACAGCTTTTCGTTTTCCCACGACTAGAGGAGGGCTCAGAAGTTCTCCTCGGGGCCTGCTTACGCTCGGCTGACGAGCCTGGGAAGGCAACCGGG